CCGCAAGGAGTGACCAGGAACAATGGTCACAAGCTGGCGGAGGGAAGGTTTAAGTTGGACATCAGGAGGCGCTACTTCACGGTCAGGGCGGCTAGAGTCTGGAACCAGCTTCCAAGTGAGGTGGTGCAGGCTCCCACCCTGGGGGTTTTTAAGAGGAGTTTGGATGACCAGCTTACTGGGGTCATTTGACCCCAGTGCTCTTCCTGCCATGGCAGGGGGTCGGACTAGATGATCTGCTCAGGTCCCTTCCGACCCTAGAAACTATGAAACTATGAAACTATATCTATATCTATGTATATCTATCTAGCTATATCTATCTCCCTATCTATATACAGCTACTCCTCACTTAACGTCGTAGCTAAGTTCGTGAAAAATGCGACTTTAAGCGAAACGAGCTGTTAAGCAAATCCAATTACGTCGCAGTAGTCACAGGCTCTCCTCGCTTCACGCTGTGCTGGTTAACGTTTTGTTATCACACTGCCGATCTATTCGAGAGCGTGCTCATTTAAAGCCGCACAGTGTTTAGCGATAACGCTGTTTGGCCGCTGCCTGCTAGTAGCTAACTACTGTGACGTAATTGGATTTGCTTAACGTTGTTTCGCTGAAAGTCGGTTTTTCAAGAACATAACGACAACGTTCAGCGAGGAGTAGCGGTACCTACTAGCAGGCAGCGACCAAACAGCGTTATCACCAAGCATTGCACGACTTTAAACCAGTGTGTTCTCTAATACATCAGCAACATAATAACGAAACAATGTTAACCAGGATGACGATAAGTGAGGAGTACCTGCATATATGTATATGTATATGCATATATGTAAAAGAAAGAGCTCTGCTTTTCATATTCCTGAAGCACAGACTTTAAGAACAATGCCACAAACCATGAGCGCTGGCGACACTGCACGTGTGGCCCTGCTGGCGACAGGCATCCTCCACCCCTGCCTGGGGTTCAGATACTTCCAGATCCTTTGGCGGGCATCCTACGTGCGGGCCCGAGTCTGGAGACTTGGGGTTCAGATGCCCCCAAGTTTCACTTGCCCTCATCTGCACGGCTGCAGGAGCAAGCTAGGGAGGAGTCTCCCGTTTCCATGAAGCTGGTGTGTAGCCAAGATCCTCCCACTGGAAGTCAAAGTGGGAAGCTAACAATGAGGCTGTCGTAGGAAGTCCTGTCCGCAAGCAGACACGGGTGCACCCTCCACTACAAAGGGTCATTTTAATTGCATTACCTCAGTCAGGGTATTCCCCCTGTCACCACCATGGATGTGGTATTTGATGTGTGCAAGACACTTCCAGTTTGTTCTGGATGCGCAGACCTTTCCCAGACAGGGCATCAGCCTGCCCCGAGCGCGGGGTGCTTCCCACGCCGCACGTGCGGGGTAATGAGAGCAGTCTGGCCCGGGCACCAGCTGTTCTCATGCAACCTCCACACTCAGCGGGAGCTCGGATCGCAGCTGCAGGAAACGGGATTGGTAAACCCTGAGATTTGTCTCGCAAGCCCAGGATGTGCTCAGCTGGTTTGGGCTGGCACGGATCAGCCCGCACCAGGCTGTGCTGGGAGGACAGTGCGCCGCACTGCCCAGATGCTACCTTCGTCTTTGCCAAGGGACACAGATGAGGCTCTGCCTGTCTAGAAGGAGCGCAAATGGTTTATTTTCAAAAAGGAATTACTGCACAAGCATCTCCTGGTGCTCCTGGCTGGAGCTCTGCCAGGGTCCAAGGCAGCAGAAACAGTGCCGTGGAGCAGGGTGGAGGGGCTGTGCTCCCTGCTCCCGTCACCCTGGCATCCCAGAGCACCAGCCAGCAGCCACCCCCTGGGTCCAGCACTGGACCTACCCCCAGGCCATTCAGCTACCAGCTCAGGGCAGGTGCTGCAGGAACAATGTAAGATCACCCTGCTCCTATCCGGCCCCAGCATGAACGTCTGCCAAGCTCCCCACTCCTGCAGCCCAGGCAGGGAGGCTCTGAGCCCCACGGCCCAGCCCAGGCCACTCAAGAGCTGACGATGCAGGTCCCTGGGCCACACGGCGCTGGGAAAGGCTCGGGAATCACGGGCATTTCTCTTCTTGCATTGCACACACTGGGAATCAGCTCCCGGAGCTGCAGGTCAGCGCAGGGCGGCAATGAGGGCTGGGCAGGGAGGCATGTCGGGCACCCGTCCTGGCAGGTGCTGCTCTCATCCACAGGAGAGAGCAGTGGTCCACACGCTGGCCTCACCCCGGATGCTGAGGGGATAGCAGGGATCACTGCCGCTCCATCGAGGACCCGGTGCCTGGGCTGCAGGGACGGGGACTGCTGGCAGAGGTGCTGGCAGGTGGGAAGCCAGGCAGGAAATGCTGGAGCTAGACCCAGGGCTAGAGCACGGGGCAGCCGAAGAGATGGAGGAGGAGGGTCCCTTAGCTGTTGTTTGTGCGCCTGTGAGGAGGACAAGGCAGGGGACAAGGCATCATGAGTAAGCTCCAGTCTCCAAGCCTCAGCACAGGGTGTGATGGACCCAGCCCCCAGAGGTGCGACCCAGAGGTTGACGCTCGATGCCTCCTGCTCCTGGGTCACTGGCACCTCGGACTGCCCAGGCCTTCCCAGAGGAGGAAGAGGAGGAGGAGCAAGGCAGCCCAGGAAACAGTGACCCCAGAGACCTCCAGCCCCCCACGCCAGCCTCTCTGCAGGGGTCTATCCCTGCCACCTGCTCCTGGCCCCCGGGAGAGAGACCTCATTACCTTCTCAGCAAGAAGAAGAAGAGCAAGAAGAGCAGGACAGCCATCAGCACCTTCTCCAGGGCAGCCCCGAGCCAGAACTTGGGGTTGGACAAGAGCCACGGCCCCGAAGCGGAGGCTGGATCTGCAGCAGAAATACATGGAGTCAGCGGACACACTGGAGCCCCGTGGGAAGGGTCCCCACCACTACCCCCAACCCAGGCCGGAGGATGCGTGGCTCCTAGCCCTCCCCCCGAGCTTGCAAGGTGGCTGGGCTAGGATTTGGGGCAGCCCGCATGGGGCACTGAGATGGCCCCATCGGGCGCCAGCAGGGTCTGGTGCAGCTGCACCAGGCGTTTTGCACAGAGGGGGAGGAGCGGACATAAGGCTGCCTGCCCTGCCCCTGTGCTGCACAGGCACCAGAAGAGATCTGACCCCTTCTCACCACCACTGTGGCTGCTCTGCTGAGTTTAGGGCAATTTCTCTGTGAGCATATCTAGGGCTGAGACAGGACACTTCCCGGGATCTGCAGCTCCCTCCAGGGAGGTGTCCCTGTCCTCACGTCCCCTGCCTCCTGCATCCCAGCGGCCCGGTGAGTGTCTGGGCCGAGCTGGGTTGGGGGCTGCACTCACCATGCACAGACACCACCGTGTATGGTCCAGATAGGTACTCCATCATTTCACTGTACAATCCTCTCCTGAACTTCACGCAGTAATAGGTGCCGGCGTCCTCGGGGCAGATGTCACTGATGCAGATGGAGTAGTCTACGGGAGAGCTGACTGCAACCCTTGTGACCCGGGGCAATGACTGTGTCTCTTCGGAGATGGGCTGGCGGTCCCTGCCCTTGCCCTTGAACCACTCCACCAGCCCTACTGGTGCATCCAGAGGCATGGTGCAATTCAGCACTAGCGTCGCCCCCACTGACACCGACACTGAGTTCTGGCCCCCGGTGCCTAGGACACAGAGGACAGGATGGGACAGGGTGAGGAGACGGAGAGGGAAGGTGGCACTTTCTGCAGGATGTGGGAGTCGATATGCAGCAATGGCTGGCCGTCACATCCCGCTGGGGCTGGGAGCTCTGCACAAGCTGGGGTTACCCATCAGAGGGAATGGCAGGCAGCTAGTGCTCTTTAAAGGGCTGGACAGGGGAGGGGAAAGGCCGCCGAGACCTCAAGTGCTGACCGCCTGGAAGCCGTGTCGGGGTCACCTTCTGGAGCTGTGCAAAGGGTCAGCTCAGGCCCTTACTTCCCCCTGGACACTGGCACTAGATCACCATCCTGATGCAGCAGGGCCATGCCCAGCCCCGGGCTGGTTTAGTTGCCCAGGGGGGCCTGCCCTAATGTCGTGCTGTTTACGGGAATGCCTGTGGTCTGAGAGGGGAAGTCTTGCCCCGGGCTGGATTACGAGACAGGAAGCAAAGAGGACAAGAAAAAGGTGGAGCAACCTGGACCCGTTTAACTCGGGGGTGCTTGGGGCTGACAGATGAAAGGCAATATTGATGTGTGCTACTTATTATCCTCACTACGAGGAGCATCAGTCCAATGTGTTGCATGGTGGTAGTGCCTGGAGACCAGCCGTGAGCAGGACCCCATGGGCTTGGGGACTAACCCACGGCCACGTCCATCCATGTCAAAGCAGAAGGGCTTGTTCAAACTGCGGGTGGGTGGGTTAGGAGCTGGGTTTCATACTCACCTGGGATGTCCACAAGAAGCAGCACCACGAGGGCTGGCAGACACCAACCAGGTCCAGGGGCCAAGGCAGCCATGGTGACAGCGGAGTGGGGACCCTTCCTCGCCACCGCCCAGGTCCTCTCTCCCCAGGCGCAGGAACACAGAGGTTCCCGGTCAGAAGGGATTTCCGAAATGCGGAAGGAAGTGGGTTGCAGCAGAGCAGTGGAGCAGCCGGTCCCATGGAGGCAGCGCCACGGCCCCGTGGACACGGGCTCAGCACTGGGTTGGTCAAGGAACCTCAGCCCTCCCCTCTCCCAGCACGGTGATCATGGTTTCCCACATTGGTGCCCACAGACAACCCAGCAGCAAAAGCCCAGGGGGGTGTCGACCGGCAAAGTACCTGCCTCCCACCCAGAGTCCAAGTTTGTGCAAGGAAACGGGGATGAGAAGCACACGGGGTATGTTCCCACGCCCAAAGCGGACACCCTGGGTGGACGAGCCCACAGCTTGGCCCCCGCACTGAAGCTTCTTACCACCACACCTGACACCTGCCCGCAGCCGGGACGTCCCAATGCCGGCCAGGCCCCGACACAGCCCACGCCGCCCAGGACACTCCCAGAGACACAGACCCATCCAGAGACAGGGGCTGTCCTCCAGCTGGGCTTTGGCCCCTTGCTCTGTGGGCGTCCTGCAGCCCCAGCTGGCCCCAGCTCAAACTAAAGTCTAATGGGGTCACCTGCTGATGTGACCCCCTTTGGGGGCTGGAGCTTGGACCCTCTGGTTGTGCTGGGGAGTTTCGTGCCCAGCATCAGGCTGAACAAGTCAAACCCAACGGGGCACGAGGGCCCTGGGCAGTGCCCTGGGATGGTCGCTCCCTCCCCTGCCACAGGGACAGGCTGGGGTTCAAATCAGGCCAGGACTGCACATGGGGGCAGGTGCAAGCATGTCTAGCATGGTTTATTTCCAAACAGAAGTGACAGGAGCCAACAGAGACAGCAACACAGCATCCCTCTGCAGAGCGCCCTGTCCTCACTGGCCCCGGGAGCAAGACTGAGCAGCCGGACCAGGCGCCCATGCTCCCAGGACAGCTCAGGGCCTGCAGGACACTTGGGGACACTGTGCACAGCCCCGCGGCACTGCACGGCGTGGTCAGGGAGTGAATGACACACAGCTGCATTGCACTTGCATGGAGCCAGCTCCTGAACTGGGTCAAGGCAAAGCTGCTGGGGAACGGGCTGGGGTGGGGGGCAGCAGCCAGGTCTGGAGCCCCTCCCCGGGGTGCATGGAGCAGCTGGTGAGCCCACCACCGCTCCACCTGCGTGCTCCATCCTGCCTCTGGGGAGAGAGGCTGCCTCCAAGCTTGCAAGCGGCCGAGGCGTGAAAGCAGCTGGGAGCTGCAAAGGGAAAGGATGCAGTGGGTGGGAAGGTCCCCAAGGAGCTCCCCATGGCCCCCGCGCTGCACACAACACATCCCTGCCCTCACCCTGGCACCCAGCTCTCCTGGCCCCACCTGTCTCCCCGAGCACCCCCAACCCTGCCTGCACCAGCCCGTATCCCCACTCAGCCCCCTTTCCGGACACGGGAAAGCCCCGTTACCTTACGGCTCCTTCCTGCGCACGAAGAGGAAGAAGAGGAAAGCTCCGATGAGGCCCTTCTCCAGGACGTACCCAACCCAGAGCCCAGGGCTGGACAGCAGACACTGGCCTGGTGGGCACGTGTGCGATGAGCGGGGCTGGGCCCTGTGCA